GTATATTTTTTGCTCTAAAATGATTTTATTATAGTACATTGTTCTAATCTTCCAGTTAAGGTTTTTAGGCCTTTAGTTATCCTGCATGTTATAGTTATAAAATTAGCAACAATTTAAAAGTTGTTTAAGTGTGGCTAAGCCTAATTTTTTTTTTTTAACCACAGCAGCCATATTTGTTTACATTTGAAACTTAGCAGAATACTGGATTTGTTGCCAATCTAGAGAAACTAAGCTTCACAACAACAAAATAACATTGTCTTTTATTATTGCGAATTAAATTATGCTTAATCCATTCTAGAATTAGCATTTAAATTATTAAATTATCTCATATATTGACTCAGCATAGCATCCACAACAAATTAAGTCAGTTTCTACGCTTTCAGTGTCTTTTTACTGAGTGAGACCAAAAAGTAAACTTTCAGTTTTGTGCACCGGAAAATCCATCTTGCCCGCTGGCCAAACTGCTTGTTTTTGCATAGAAAGTGTAATTTTATCCGTAAAAAAATTGTTTTTAATTGTTTTTACTGTATTTGGTGTTTTATATTTTTCTGTAGCTTTCAGTTTTTAGTATAAATATTTTGAGTTTTTTTAATGTATTTTTGCCTTGTCGCGAAGTGAGAGCAGAAGTGAAAGAGAAATATATCTCCAATGAAATTCCAGGAAATAAGTTTAAATGAAATGCAGGAAAATATGCATATAATTTAAGATTCTGTACAAGGAAGCCAGAGTGTGAACATCAGATTTTTTAAAATAAGTTCTCTTATTGCAGGATTTTTAATATTTTTTTCTTTCTGCAGCTTGTTTGCTATTTTTGGTGTGTGCAGAGTGTAATTCATTTGTAAATTCTTTAGTCAAATCATCAAACTCATATCTTGTATGTATGTTCAGGAAAGTGTACTGGATGTGTCTAGAGCTTTGGCATATTCTGCCCAGTTAGTAATAAGGGCTGCTCAGTGTGGTGTATTGTCGCTATTCATGCTGATGTTTGCCATAACCGGATTGTGATCCGAAGAAAGTTAATTTATGCTGTCAATAAAAATCAGAGCATTTATATTTTTAAGCAGGAAAAAATCAAAAAAATCTCACCCTTGCGGAAGCTCTATGTGTTAGTTTATCTGGAGCTGTAATAAAAGTATTGGCTGTTTGGGCAAGTTTGTATATTGTTCTACCATAGTTATTAATAGAACTGCAGTTCTACACGAGGTGGTGTGCGTTAAAATTTCCACCTAAAGTAACTTGATTGTTAGTGTTGAGTATTGTGTCTAAATCAGAAGACACATCTACTACAGCTTTATTGCTTGATATATAGATGGAGACAAAAGTGATTGGATGAGTTGTGTTTGAAGTGATTGTGATGGCTAAGGCTTCGACACCTGAGAGCCGTATAAGTGTTGTGAGATAATGGAAATGGAGCATTTGCCTGGAATAAGCAATCCACCTTGGGCATTTCCCCCAAGTGCATATCTGCCTTCAGTAGGTCTATCTAATCTGTGCTTGACATAGTAAATGACTCTGGAATTGTTATGCGACCAAGCATATGTTCCTCTAATGGAAACTTAAGTCAGGACTGTACTTGTGTAAGAAATATGATTTGCATTCTATGTAACCATACATTATTAGGCTGATTCATTTTAATTTAATGTTAATTTTGTTTGTCATTTCAAGAAAAATATACATTTTATCAATAGGATCACTAGCTGCTTTTAGCTTAGGCATATAATTTTTGAATACATTATTCATAACTTTCATGCCATCTTTTTCAAATATTTCATTTAATTCGTTCATGTAGATGAACTGAGTAAAAAATTCAGAAATTTGATTTATACCATTTATATCACTAGTACTGGATAAATTTTGAAATAATTTACTGTATTATTACTAGGATTGTTAACCAACTTGACAGGTACAGCAGTAGCCGAGTCGGGGGTAGTAGCATTGTGTTTGAGGTTATTGTAGCAGCCTCTTTTTTCACCATATCGGTGTATGAGATGCCTGGCTTTACAGAGGTACTTTTGCTTTGGCTGGGCTTATTTTTAGGGACCCATGATAGGAAGCAATGTGGGGTCCATGGCAATTACTGCACTTGGATTCTTCAGTCCTTCCTTTTTGTGGACAGTCTATTGTTTTGTGTGGAAGAGAGCTTTTCACACATCAAAGTTGAAAATAACGATTGTCGGAGGAGGTATCATCGGCAGTTATAGCACTGTGGCATTTGATTCTTGGATATAAATTTTTCAACAGTTACAGAGTAGTAGATCTCTTAATTCATAATTTTTTCTTTATTCTCATTTTTAACAAGTTATACCATGAATAAAGCAGAACTGTGGAGTCGGTAGGAAAAATGACCGACTCTGGCTCCTGGAATTTTAATAACTCCAACTCCTTCATATATATATAAACATATAAACATGGGTACAGCTTATTTTTTTAATATACAAGAACTAGTAGATGGAAAAACTGACATTAGTACTTTCTAAGAAACAGTAAAACTTCAGCAAGATCTTCTTTGTTAGAGGATCATAGATCTGATATGATAAACTTCAGAATTGAGAATATTAATCATATATTGATTCTCGCTTAGGATTCAAGGATTAAAATGAAAATTCAAGGATAGTGCAAAAAAGTGTGTTTCTCTGTGTTCCTACAAGGGAAAATTGTAAAAAGGACTGCCTTTTTTTTTTCCTATCCTCATACATCACGTCGCCTTTTCATTACAGATCAATCGACAGGTAGGTTTTTTCTAATAGATTCAGTGAGTGATGGCTGATTAATTGTTGCAAATAAATCTGAACTGAAGGCACCAGTACTCAACTTTTCGTGATGCTAATGGTTCATCCATTAATGTGTGTGGTCGCTAAACAATAACTCTTAACTTTGGTTTAAGGTGCTGTTTTACTTTCTCTTTTTATATTTGTAATGTTACATGCTCAATCACAGGTGCAGGTTTTTTATATTACTTCAATTTATCTCCGGCTAATCTTTGGAATACGGTAACAGGTAGTTTGGCGACATTTTGGTAAGTGATAAAGATTACTAGCTAGGACTTTAGCAATAATCTGAGAAGTACACAGTTCGAATCACAGATTATTTTTGTCTCAGAGAAATGAGAAATCATGAGACATGTAATGTGACATTTTCTGGAAAATTCCAATCGGGATTTTAGCTAATAAGCACTTAGAAACAATTTCGCTGCTAAAGTGCAGAATCGCCCACTTATTTGTTTGGCACTTTTTATAAGAGTAAGAAGAATTGGATTTTTGTCAATTTTCTTTGACTTTTTAAGTGAAAATAGGTCGATGTGTACATGGATAAAGTCAAGAGTGTGCGCAATGCCATTTTTGTGCAATTCTGGGATGTTTTTTTTTTAAGTGAAAATAGGTCGACGTGTACATGGATACCGTGCATATGCAATTCTTAAAAAGGCGGCAAGCAGTGGGCGATGCTACACTTTCTCCCAATTTCGCACCTAATCTTCGTCATAATTAAGCATTTTTGCTCCATAAAAGTTCTAGCATAAGTGTAATTCGGCTAGCAGATTGTTGGAAAAAATGTTGAGTAAAAAAAAAATGCCTTTACTTCGTGAAAACAAAATGGCGTCTAAAAAAAAAAATAGATAAATAAATAAAAATAAAAATGAAATAAAAACTAGCAGGTTGCTGCAGCAGCGTTGGTCGCCGAAGTTTCGCCAAAAAATCGCCACGTTACCATAATCCGAAGATTCACCTTATCTCCTTATTTACATTACAAGTGTCTAATTCGTTTAACAACAAATCCAAATTTTTAATGTACCTACCAAATTAAATACTTGTAATATTTTTTCTGTAAAATCTTCTTGTATTGTTAATGTATTTGGTAAATTATTGTTACAATATCCTGGTATTACTAAATTACTGGGTCCCAATCAACCTGTGAAGCACAATACTGGGCATTATATAAATACTAAAAGTCTTCCAGTTACTGCTAAACCTAGATGGTTAGCTCCTGAACGCTTAAAAATTGCGAAAGCTGAATTTCAGCGCATGATTCAACTGGGACACATGAGACCTTCCAAAAGCCTCCTATTCATTGCCCTTGCACATGGTGTCCAAGAAAGGGTTTGTTGAATGGAGACCTGTTGGTGACTATCGATCTCTTAATGCTCAGACTGTAGAAGAAAAATATATTCTTTGCATATATGATTTTACTTCAGAATTCTATGGTAAACAGATGTTTAGTCACATTGTTCTTGTAAAAGCATATCACCAAGTTCCCATAAATCCGGATAATGATCATAAAACAGCTATATGTACTCCTTTTGGTTTGTTTGAAAGTTTGAGAATGCAGTTTGATCATTGATTTCTCAACCTTTCAACGGTTTATCGATGAAGTCACTAAAGATTTGCCTTTTGTTTATACAATTATTGATGATTTACTTGTAGCTTCTAACAATGAACAAGAGCATTTACAACATTTATACCTGCTATTTTCTAAACTTCAGGAATATGGCTTATGTGGAATTGAACCCCTCCCTGATTGTGTAAAATGTATCCTAGATTTTCCTCAGCTACAGACTCTCACACAAGTATGCTGACAACCACACATCACCAGTATTGCATCATCCAAAAAAAAAAAAAAATTTTTCATCTTCATTGGAAATAATTTTTTTCATAAAATTTGCTGAAACTCCCTGATTCAAAGAGAGATTAGAATGACCATCTTGGTGAATTACTGTACCAAAGGTGCGCATATACAGTTGAAGCTTGCAGTGTTTATCATTTTGAAAACTTTCATTTGAATGAAATTACTGAAAAACTTTTGAAACCCCCTGTCTTAAATTTCAAGGATTCTCAATCTCTGCTTTCCAAGAAATAACTCCAATTTAGTGTCAGGTGTATTCTTACAGTATAAGTTGATAATATATGTTATTTTTTAAAAACAATTTCTGCAGTTTTGCTCTTAAAAATTGAAATAGACTAGAGGAATAAATGAGTAAAAAATTGATGCATTGACATTTTTTGTAGGTCTCTGTACAGATAGAATTTTTTCAATATGGCTGATTTTCTTGAAAGCGAAGCAGAAGAATCGGAAGATGAAATTATTAATCGTAAACGTAAAATGTCTGATGATGAAGATGATGAGGAAGAGGAAGAAGATGGTAAATTTTTCACTATTTAAAAATTTTCTTAATTATGAAAATAGGAAAGGATAATATTTGTATAATATTTAACTATGTGTTCTGTCTCATTTAAAATTATATTGTTCCTTATATATATTCTATCATTTCTTTAAATAACTTTAAATGTTATTTCTATTTCTTATGCTTTCTTATGTGGAACATTATAAAGGACTCAATGGTAAATTTTATTATTCAGAAACTTTCATATATTTATTTGCCCACTCAGTGTATTTTTTGTGTGTCCTTATTACTTTGTTTAATCCACCTTACCATTTTAGCATTTGCATTTATGTTAGAAGTTAAAGTTTGTATTTATGATTTTCTTACATTTAATCACATTTTTCATATTCATCAATTTGTGTTTTTATCAGTGCTTATTGTTTTTGGAAGGCTTGAAATGTTAAAAATATTTTTATAGTAATTCCATTTAATAAATGCACTTATGTATAAGTTATTGCAATGACTAAATTAGCTTCCAACTTGCTTATTAAATTAAATTTCTTTCTAATATATATATATAGAGAGAGAGACGCGCATGTATCATATTGTTTAATCATCATTTGATTGATACTTTTCATGTATATAGATGAAGAAAAGTTACGTGAGGAAATGAAAGATTTAATTAATGATGACGAAGAGGAGGAGGAAGAGGATGATAAAGATGAATCAGATGAAGAAGTTAGTAGAAAAAAGAAGAAACGGCATGGTTTGTAGATTTTTAAACCTTTTTACAATTTTCTTTTAAGATGGTTTTTTCTGAAAAATTTATTTATTGAGAAAAATATCTTTTTTAATCCAAATTCTGTACCATTTTATGAATTTTATTTTTTTAATACGTCAAATAAATATCATAAAGGGTTTAGATTGACCCAACTTATAATCGCTTTTTATGCTTTGCATTATTGTGGTGAATCATTCCATTTTAAATCGTCCTTTATTATTCTTATCGTTATCAGCTGTCTGTTTTTCTATTTGCTGTTTGCTCATTCAGTTCTTCCTGTCTTTTACTGTCATGTAAAGAAAACATTTTTATTTTTAAGCATAATTTTTTAAATAGACATATATTTTACTTAACAAACTATGGGTATATGCACACAAGCAAATTTTGCAGTTACAATTTATAGGATCAAAGAAAAACTTTAAAAAAGTTCTAAGCATTAAAAGTTAATAGTAGTAGTGTGTAAAGTAGTGTCTTTAGTTTAAAATTAACAAATGCTTTCAAAAAGGAATTGATGATATTATAACTTCAGACCTCCTTTATTTTAATAATAATAGGTAATCAAAAATATGATCATTATCATGCTCTAAAATTATTTATGATGTACTGGCCAAAGGCTGGATTCCTCAGCAAAATTTGTTGTATGCTTTTCTACGAAATGTAAACTTAGTGTTGATTTGATCTCTTCTTTATTTGCAAATGTTTTTCATATGAAGGAATTCTGCAGAAATTTAAAGGATGAAAGTTTAATAGTGAAATAGTAGGAGAAATAACACTTCATATCCTTTTAACTTCATATCTTTTGGTGAGTAACTCTTAGAGTGGAAGTTAAGCATTATCTTGAAAAACTGTAATGCTTTTTCTCTTGGTTTATTTTAGGTGATTCTGTATAAAAGTGCCTCAGACAATCAGTGTGGTCTTTGATTGACCATGTTATAGTCTGTCCATGTCTAATACACAACAATAAACGTAGAAAGAACCCACTTTTCTTTGAAAGTGATTCATTGTTGTTTCATTTCATGGCTAATAATGTTTTAATTTTTAATCATAAACCTTATTTAGTTTTGCTGGTTTGATAAATTTTAGGGGCTTCATACTTCCGCTCCATGTGAATTTCTAGTAGAATATAAATCATCATAGATTTTTTTCATGTAACTGCTAGTAATTGCTGCTTCTGGTTATTAAACAAAGATAAATTAATACATTAAAAGTAAAACAAATTTTTCATAAAATTCTTCTGTAATTGTTTTAGCTGTTCTTCCCATGTATACAATGATTTGTTTTCCCTTAAATTGTTATCAGAGAGTTTCACAAACTTCCCATTAAGCACTGGTATTCTACCAAATGATGTGATCAATGTTCCTTTTACCAATTTTGCAGCAAAATACTGTTTTTCTGCAGTGATATAAGCAAATTTCACACCACTTCTAGCAAATTTCACAAGCACATATTGAGCTTAAGGCAAAAAATACTAGGATTTGTGTACAAAAGGTGTCGGAACTTGGAACACAACTAAAAGAACGCATACAAAAATGATGATACTGCTTGAGTGAAGAGCAGTTATGAACATGGTTGTTTGAAGAATGGTTACGTGCATTGGTTGCCAGATTTCGGCACATTCTAAAAGTTCGGCGGCACTTCAACTAAGGTGGTTGTGATTATACAAAAGTGCCCCTTGCCATAGCCTTATTCTAGTGTGTGAAGAGCATTCGGTTGAAAATAGTGCATGTAAGTATTCTTTGCAGGAATTATTAGGGGGAGAAGATAGAAGATATATGGTTTCTTATAAAATTTTAGGCAAAATAAAAAGAGGAAGGGAGGAGGAGAACTTCTAATCATCTACAAACGAACTGGAATATTATTGGTATTTAGAGTGACAGTCTGAAGATAAATACATAGACTCAAACATTTAATATTTCTCATGGAGCTTGATCAGGAAGTCATACACACTTTTGTATGCAGCAGCAAGAGAAGAAAGTTAGAACACATATTTCGCTTCCTCATTACAGAAGTGAGCCACTTTTGAATGAAATTATAAAAGATGAGAAATGATTACTGTATTATAGTGTTGATCATTGAAGGACTGTTTAGCGAGTTGCAGAACAGCAACATGAGCTTTAATACGAGAATATCATCCTATAAAAATTTTATTAAGTGTATGGTAAGATATCTAGAAAATAATCTGCTATGATGTAAACAAACAATACATGTAGATGTCTACTTCCAGCAAGCGGACATAGAGAACTGACATCTAAGTTGCTAGCACTTTTCAATCATATAAATTTTGTCTTTTATCCTGACAATACCAGACGTTATGCTTCTTTAATCACTCAGCCAAAATTACTAGGCTTTAATTGGGAAGTGTGTACGAAACCTAACTAGTTCAGTGCAAAATTCTGGCTTTGCACAGAGTGACTTTTTGCCAACTCTTTGACTTAAGTTAATTAAGTGTAGCATTGAATTCAAAGGAGTGTTTAAAATAAACTTTTTTTTTATTTAGCTCTTCAGGTTAATAAAAAACATATAGCTCGTATAGCAACAGAGCAACCACTGCTTCTTGTGAAATTTTACAGCATGCAAAATTCAAAGTTAAATTTAATTTAATTTTAATTTACAAGGTGAAGTCCTAAGGTAAGTTTTGGTTCTGATCATCAGTTTTGTGAACAAACATGGCTAACAAAGGCTAGCATAAATTTTATTATGAGCTATAAAAATTTATTTTCCTGACTATTAATCTCAAAACAAGTTACAATTATCAAACATTAGTGTTTCAGAATTAAATAATTTTGAGAAAATTTTTCTGTTTTACTTCAAACAGAATGCAATTAAAACTATTTAAAAATAAGTATAATTGAAGTATAAATATAAGTCATTGTCTAATTGGATTAATTTGTTCTTATACCAAATATGGTTGTTATGTACATATTTATATATTTTAGATGACTTTGATGATAGATTAGAAGATGAAGATTATGATTTAATTGAAGAAAATTGTGGTATCAAAGTCCGAAGGGTAAAAAATACTATTTTATATAATTTTTGCTCATTTGCATGTTATATTGTTATATACCTATTGGTCCAAATAATGAATAATTAATGTTTTCCCCTTGAAATGCCCTTTTTGAAGTAAAAGATTTAATTCAAAATACTGCAGTCAGACCTTTTTTTTATTTTTTAATTTTTTTATCTTTCTGTTAAAATCGTTTCTTAAACTGTGGGTTGGGACTTGCAGCAGGGGGTCACCAAAAGTTTAGCAGTTTTGATATTTCTTTAACTTATTATAGTAAATTTACTATTATGAAATATTTTTACACAATGTATTTGAAAATAGATAAAGATAAGGCAATGCACAGGGGTGTTTGTGCTCCGGGGATCGTCGTTCAAAAGGAAGTAGGAATAATAATGTAATAATGAATTATTTATTTTGATCTGGATAATTTTGTTTGCTTTGAAAGCAGAAAACGCAAAGTCAGTGTGTGTGGTGAAAACTTTTCCTTTCTTTCTCCAAAGGCAGTGATAATGCGTGAAAAGGGGGAAAAAATTTCTTTTTTGTTCTTTCCTTATTGCGAGTTATGACTCATTCCCCCGGTTCTCGGACATTCTCTTCTGGATTCTTTTCGGCAAGTAGGCGCGGCAGAAAAAAAAGGGAGAGACTTCGTTGGACCAGATGTGCGATCACGTGACTCTGGGTTCAAAGGTCTTATCTCTCCTGGCGTGGCGCAAAAAAGTAGAGAAGGGGGATTTTTCGCCGTATTAGCTATTTGTCATTGATCGCTTCTCAACTTTTTTTTCTCCGCTGTGTAAAATTTTCGTTTCATTTATTGATGCACGTGTAAATTTTTCGTTTCGTTTATTGAAATATTTTTTTATTTATGTACGCAAGAGAATTTCACTATGAAATTTCTCGATATAAATAGTGATATTATACAATTAGAAGAAGGTGTCCGGAATGCATTTAGGGGGAATTTGATTGAACGGAGAGATGGCAATGGGGATACCATCGGCACATGGTGCAAGAAAATAAATGTTGCTGGACAAGCATATTGTGTTTTTTGTAACTCTCTGCTGAAGTATGGTGGGGAAGGAATCAAGGCTTTCACAAATCATTCTAAAACTGTGACGCACATAAAATATTCAAAGTGCATTAGACATTCAATGACTTTAAGTAATTATGCTAAATAAAAAAATACTGATGACTTACTGGAGACAGATGCTAGGCCATTGGATATAGTGACAAGAAAAGCACGCCAAGAGGTATTAACTCTTTAACTGTAGAGTTATTTTGATGATTTGGGTACACAAATTGTCAAATTTTTTTATTGGAAAAATCAAATGTTTAGTACAAAATAAAATATACTTAAGTAGTTAAAAATTGATATTTTGAAGTACATGGGTAAAATTTTTAAAGTTTCGTAGCCACTGCATATTTGCTTGAGGCGGCTGCTACTCAATATGGCAGTTGTAAAGTTCGCTTTTAGCGGAGCATTATTTTCTAAAAATGAAACAAATTATTTTCTAAAAACAAATAAATGAAAAAAAATAAAAGTGAATACCTATTCGAAGTTCAGTAATTCAGTTGTGTGGTACAACTGGAAACACTTTTCCAAGCACAAACCAACTCCACATTCACTACACCAGAATCATGTTTCCTTCCTTATCTTTTTCCCATTTTTATCCTTTTTCGAACAACACACTTTGCACTGTCTTGTAGGCTCATGTTTCACAGAAGTAGGAGGAATATAGGAAATAAAATGTCGTTCAGTAAGACGGGCAGGGTTATCTATTGTAGGTGGTCTGCCAACATTCTTTTGTCTAGAAGCTGCATCATCATATTTATGTAAAATCTCTTCTACAACTTGGATTCGAAATTCTAAAAATGTAATACATTTCCCAACTACATTTTTATAGAGTAAATATGACTTCCAAAGTATCTTGTCTAGTAATGTAAATGTAAAATATCTTTTTATAATATTTTTTCTGACGTTTTCAGGATTGTTGGATGAAAGGATATTTCCTAATCACAGCGATCTACACCACCCATATTAGACTTGTAGTCAGAAACAATCTTCGGCTTGAGTATATCTTCATTTTTAAAAAAAAATTTTTTTTTTATTTTTGAGGCTGACCATGGAAGTATCATAAATACTGCTCATCAAACACACATCCTTCATCTTCGGGTTGAAGAATCTAAATCATCTATATAACGTTTTCAAAGAAACTGAAGACGCCATTTTACAACAAAAAGATCCCGTGCACTTTGAAACCAAGGAACTTATAACCTCTAACCTTTGAAATCTTCAGTAAAGTGCTGTTATCTATTGAATTGAGCGCACATTAACTTTTCCCGATATACAGTCGGGTTTGACAAAGAAATGAAGCCGAAATAAACGTCTCCCGATATATATTCGGGTATAACAATACGATGCACTCAAAAAAAATTACCCCGAGTAATACTCGGGCGTGACATTTTGGAACACCAATCTCGGGCATGACAGTTAAAAGGTTAATAACTTCGTTTATCGCCGAGAATTCTCTTTCTTTCAATGTAGCTCCCAATTTAATTGAACTCTGCAAACAGTTGAGCTGCGATCAGTTGGCACTAAACTCGTTGGAAATGTCCAGGACTACTGCATGTCATAAGATGAAATATGGGCTCGCAAAAACTATTAAGGAAAATATCATTAAAACTTTAAAGGAGACTCCATTTTCTCTAAATTTGGATGAAAGTACTAGCAATGCTCAAGAAAGTATACTGGCAATATTGATGCAGTTTTATGACAACAATCAAAATAAAGTTGTAGTTCATCATTTTGCATCTCTAAAGATGGAATCTTGCAATTCAGAAGCTGTTTTTAAAGCAGTTGTTAATACTATTGAAGATAATAATATTCCATGGGCAAACTTAATTAGTGTATTAATGGACTCATGTAACACCATGCGTGGAAAAAAAAGGGTGTTGAAACCAGACTACGATCAAACAAAGCACCTCACTTATTAGATATTTGATGGTGACACATGTCACACAGCTAATAACTGTGCAAAAAAAATTGCTTCATGTTTTGATAGATACTTAGAAGATTTGTTTGATGACATATATTTTGATATGAAAAGCTGCAGTAAAAGAGAAATTTTTTTCAAAATCTGTGAATCCCTTGCCATTAAAAAACTAAGCCCTTGAAGAGACCAGACCATAGGTGGGTGTACATTTTATGTGTTTTAGAAAGAATCAAAGATCTGTGGGATGCTCTTATTGCGTTTTATTTTCACTACTTGGATAAAACTGATAAAGGGGATTATTTTTCTTATGTTGAAACTGTATACAATAAAAGAAATATTTCTGCAGCTCAGAAAAAATTGTTGAAGGGGTGTATTCTTGCTTGCATTCCCAACAACTCACAAAGGATGCTTTAGCTCGGAAAAAAAAGAATACTAAATGGGTTATTTGTTATGCAAAACAAAACTTTATTGCATATGGCATTATATTCAGCAGTATTACCAGAGTTCAACACATATATTAAATTATTTGAAACAAAAAAAAAAAAAAAAAACAATGCTTCATTTAATACATTCCAGTATTTATAAATTGATGGCAAAATTTTTCTCTTTTTTTATGAAGCCAGAAAATATAGAATGCACATCTTATAATGATTTATTAAAGGTTGATGTCACAAATCCAGAATTCCATCTACCTAGCAAAGTAATATTTACTGGTGCAGAAGCTTCCACTCTCCTGAAGAAACTATCAAAAAATCATCCAATAGCAAAAGAATTCCAAATTTCTCTGATGAAAGCTTATACTAATACAGCACAGCATATGAAACAGAAATTACCCCTTAAAATTCATATCTAATTAGTTTTACAGCATTAGATCCAGAGCTAAGAGGTAAACCAGTACAATATTAGCTTTTGAAAAATTATCATCTTTTATGTCCCATATTTTTAGTGATAATGAAAAGTCAAAAGTAGAAGCTGAAATAAGGTTATACCAGAGTGATAGCCTGCCTTAGCTGCTTCCATGGCTCATTAGTGGAAAGTGCATTCAACTTAATGGATACACTTGTCACTGAGTATAGAACCTCTCTTAAGATTGATTCCCTAGATGCAGTGCAGACTATTAAATATGATTTAATGGCTTCTAAGGAAACCTTATGTGAAAAATATGGCTAAAAAAATCCAATGACTGATCCAATTCACAAAGATCTCTTACTGAATATGAACAGAAGTTGGAAAACATATCAAGAGGACTTAAAAATATGTATTTCAGATGAGACACCTATAAAAGTCTCTGAATAACCTTCTACATTAGCAGAAAAGCAAACTGCTTTCTTTTAATGTGCGCATGCATGAAGCATACATTACGCATAGTCGAAATTAGAAAATTGCAACCAGAAAACTATTTGTGTATTCATAATATTTATAATGACGAAGAATTCGATTTAAATCATATCAAAAACAGAGTACATTGAGATGAAATACTACACTTAGTAAGGAATTATAAGTGGGATAAAATAAAAACATCTGCCCTGAAGATAAGGATAGTGCTGACAGATCAACTTCCTGTTCACTGCGTGCTGCGTCATCCTCTCCCCCGCAGAGCAGCGTGAAATTGATAAACATATTTCGGAATGATTAGAGAATCAAAGGATATGCCTTTATCCATTTTTTGCAGCAATTCCACTTTTTGAAAAATATGGCTAAAAAAATCCAATGACTGATCCAATTCACAAAGATCTCTTACTGAATATGAACAGAAGTTGGAAAACATATCAAGAGGACTTAGAAACATGTATTTCAGATGATTCACCTATAAAAGTCTCTGAAAAACCTTCTACATTAGCAGAAAAGCAAACTGCTTCTACCTCTGCATGTGCAGTTCTCGAGGAAATTTCTTCAACTGTAAATGAGGAAAATAAAAGTCAACCTTCCTGCAATTATGAAGTTCACCACAAAAGAAGACAAGCCCACAAACATCAGAAAATAAAAAAAAGCAGCAGAAATTAGATAATTTTTTTT